ACTTATTTAAAGAAAGAAGGTTTTCTCTATATAAAATTTGAACTCCAACTTAATAAAAGTTATTCATTATTGAGTCCTTACAAGAAACTCAAATACTCTTTCTTACGAATTGCTAGAGAACTATCGCATCCTAACAATGTCATATTGAGATCTTGGTCATAATTTCGTTCAAGCAAATAAACTTTCGTAGCATCAAAATATTCAATAAAAGAGAGGTTATCTTGCTCGGTGGTGAAAAGTTACGTATTGATCTAGTAGAAGAGGCTAGCATTCTTGACTTTTGAGTGTATTTTTTTGATAGTCACTAAACTTCTTTTATGGTAGATAGGAGCAAATATAGCCCACTGATTTCCGACATCATGATACTTCACAAACAAGTCATGATCACAGAATATGTTCCTTCTCAAAGTATTAACTTTTACTTATTTTGACTTCAAATGCAGAGCCACTAGGTGTTGAATCTTCCTTTTTCATTTAGAAATATTATAACTCCAAATCACATCAAATAGTTTCCCCGTTCAAAAGACATGAGGCTTGAACTCAAATTATTAAACATTATTGTGCTTCCGTCATCAACTCATAAGAGAGAGAACCTTATTTAAGAAAGAACATTTTCACTATTCAAAATTTGGAAAAAAAACTTAATCAAAGTTATTATTAAATCCTTACAAGAAACTCAAATTCTCTTTCTTACACATTGCTTGAGAACTATCACATCCTTATAACATGTCATATTGAAATCTTGGTAATAATTCAGTTCGAGCAAATAAGCCTTCGTAGCATCAAAATATTCAATGAAAGAAAGGTTACCATGCTTGGTGGTGGAGAGTTTCATATTGATTTCGTAAAGGAGTGTAGCATTCTTGACTTTTGAATGGATTTGTTCGACAAACTCTATACTTGTTTTGTGGTAGATAGGAGCATATATTAGCCCACTGATTTCCAGCATCATAACAGTTCATAAACAAGTCATGATCATAGAATATATTTCCTCCCAAAGTATTAATTTTTAGGTAATTAGGCTTCAAAGGTGATCCATTTGGTGTTGAATTTTTCTTTTTTATTCAAAAATATTTTAACTTGAAATCACATCAAATAATTCTCGCATTTACATGATATGAGGCTTGAAGTTCCTAGATTTTTCCTTTAGTCCAATTTTAAACACTCATGAGGGAACCCATGTAAAATGAAAAGATTAGCTCTAACGAGTAAAGGATAGAGGATTAGAGAGAAAAAAGTTCAGAAACATAAAGCCTTAACCTAGCTCTAGTGCCTTGTAAATAAAAATAGCTAGGAAAGCTTGGATTGCATATTGCTCAAATAGGTATCAAAATAAATAAATACAATAAAATAATTACAATAACACAAGAAAAAAACCTAGCAATCAATCATTCTAGCGATTGATGACTGATTTCAAGAGAGGAATCCATGGCCTTTTTCTTTCCTTTATTATATAAGTCCATGGAAGTGTTATTTCCATATAAGCAATGAGTATGCTTTTCAACAATTGCTCATCATAAGCGTATTATATATAATCATAAATGTATAATGGTTATTGTATGATCATAATCTAACTGCAGATCCATGCTAAAACCAAATTAGATAAAAGGAAGCTAAGAAAGATAAGAGAGATGTCCAACAACAAAAAATCTACTAAAGGCTCAAGAACACAAAATACAAGAAAAAAAAAAATTGACCTAGATAATAGGAAAAGTTAGAACGTGTGTGAACCCTTGGATCTTCCCAAAATCTCCTATTTATAGATAGGGATCTTGGGTCTTAAACACTAAAGGTAGAGCTATAAGTTGAGTAGCACATGTAATAAATACAATAAAATATAAAAGATAACTGGGTCCTAAGTAAAAAATGGAGCTCAGACTAGTGGTCATCCTGTGGGAGAGTCCCAAAATCTCTTGGGCTAACAAGACAGAGCAAATCTAGTGGTGGCGTAAGAGAAGTTCTTCCTTGAGGCTAATGGATATTCCTCTTTTTAATTGGCATGACCTCCCCTAGTATCATGTGTAAATGCAATAAACCTTTGAAGGATTTCATATTGTATGCAACAAAAAATTAAGTACATAACAGATTCCACAAAGCATGTATATTGTGAGATCTGTCAATCCTAATAAAAGAGAGAGAGCATGACACTCATTTACATTTTTTAATCAAAAAAACACTCTTGTAAAGCTAGTCTTGTTATCTCTAGAAGTGTACTAAAACAACACCTACCAGAAATTGGTGAAAAAAATGAACTATTGGTTATCCCAGGTTGGGTCCTCCAACCTTTGTCCTACATAATCTTCAAAAGGAAGTTAACAATAACGGTATTATTACTAACGACGTTGTTACCTTTGAATTCTAACATTCAAGGCTCCATAATATCTCTAATGCAAAGTACAGCCATGAGCTCAATTTGGGCACTGTCCCTGCCAGAGCTTCACCTGTGAGCAACTGCAACCAAACAACACCCTTCTCATCACATATGATCACCACTACCGACTAGACGTGAAGGAAGAAGGGCCTCGTCATCCAGTTTGGCAAGTCCTTCTAGGTCCTGACATCAAATTCTTCTCCAACATAGCTGGCAATTCTTCCTGAAACTTAGCTAGAGTTCATCACCATGTTCTTCCTTAAGGCGAGTCCACCCATTGGATAAAATATTATCAAATATCCATATAAATTTCTAGTGCCTTTTTATCATAACGTTTTTGTTTAATTATGTTGAGCTCAATGCATAACCCAGAATGAACTCAATCAGATGCAATATCAATGATAGCTAATGAAAGCAACATTGCACAAAGTCGGCAAAAATTGCATCATGCAGATCAAATATTGTTCAATCATCACAGGTTTTGTAAAACAGACCGCCAACATGACTGAAATGTCAAAATTACTTGAAAGTGCATCGATCATTTTTTGGTATTAAAAAAAGTAAGGTTTAACAACTGGTGAAAAAGTTAAGGCTCAACGTAACAAAAATTCCTAACTCCAGATCTAAATAAAAATTAGTCTGATATTAGAAAAATATGGTTAACTACACTCAATCAACCTTAAGAAATTTTATTTCTAAGCTGCTTGATGCATCCAGAAGGCTTTATTTCAAGAAAGAAGAAAAGTATTCAATGTCGAGTTTTTAAAATGACTGTTGCAATTCCAAAACATCTACATATACTCACCCTATTTTTCAGCAAAAAAAGTAGCGATATAAAGTTTACATAAAGCTGAGATCAGCACTAATAAATCTGAATCATTAATAAAGGAAAAAGAATAAATTATAAAATGCATCAAAAAAGTAAAGTTGCTAAATCAGCAAACTACTACAGCAATACCGTCGTACAATAATACCTTAAATGATTCCACAATACTAAAGTACAATGACCATTATTAAACCATATTAATTTTCTAATACCCAAAACATCTCAAAAATCTTCAATCATGTAATCAAGTGTAATCTATTTTGAAGGCAAGTTTATTCCTTAAAGCAAATGTGATTGCCATTCTTTTTTTTTTTTTTTTGGGGTGTAGAACTGATTTGATCTGATCATATGGTGGAGGAAAAGCGGCCACGCATGAAACAAAAATGTTCAATTTTAGTCGTTTTAATCTCCCAACCTCAGCAAAAAAAAAAAATTTAAATTCTATCTGCATGAATATAAATGTTACAAATTCTCAAATAAAATTATTCAACAATGCTTTCATAAAAATAAACAGCAATATAATGCCCTATGCACCAAACGTCTTAAAGAATAACAAGCAATAAAAAAAAAGTCCAAAACTTCAATATTTTTTGTTAAACAATAAAACGAAAAAGCTAAAAAACCACAAGCTATCTAATGTATCCAACATAATCTATTTGACTCCTGAAGTGATTCAAAGTACTGCCTTTACTCCTCAAATCTAATCTAAAAAATAATCCAATAGAAGTACTATTTTGAAGCATTTTACGAAGTCAAGGGATTAAATTATACACGATAAAAGACTCAGAATGAAATAACCACATACAAATAGTTTAGAGACCATGTTGACCTCTTACTCAAACAATAAAATTAAGCTTTTTTACAAAGCAACTTAAAAAAAACAAAAAATACATAAAGAAATTGAACAATGACACAATCCTAGATGTAGTAAAACCCTACTAGCCCCATTCATCCCCCATGGCAGACAACAATATGGGTCTTCATCACCAAGGCCTTTTTAATCCTAAACCTTCCATCATTACAGATTTTCTCAGGAAGCCAACATGGAATGCTGTTCATTCCTCCCTGTCCACACCACTAACTCTCCCTCTCCCTCTCTCCACCTTTCCATCTTTCCATTAATATTGTATTGGATTCCTTATTTGGCCACCCTCAATCAATTTTAATTCCATGGCGCATTGAAAAGAAAAGGTTGTACATAGATTGAATAGATGACAGAAAGTGACAATGAACACAGCAAGTTATTTGTCCGCAGTATTCAATGTGGGTACCAACTATAACTGCATCAGTGATAGTAGTAACATCAATAACGGATGGAAAAAAAATGGAAGCTTCAGCTGGAAATTCTGCACTTATTATCCTCACACCCTGGATTTCTATCTTTCTACTTTTGCACCTTTATATTTCCTTTTTTTTAATATCACTCAAATTTTCATCTCTTGCTCAGCTCATCATCACTATAGATCAAGTCAATTCAGCTCAAAAGTTATGGACAAATTGATGAAACTGACTAATGCTTAAAAAATAACACATTTACAGTTATATGTGACAAACCAATCTAATAGCACCAAAGCTATTACATTTCAGATGAATCTCCATGTAACATTCTACTGCCATTTGACTTAGTATTCTTTGAGTTCAAACCATCAATTTAATTTAAATTATGACTTAGATAAGTTTAGAGCTTTTGATAGCAATAGGGAGAAGAAAATAAAGCTAAAAATAGCGAGTTCTAGTAAACCATCTAAGGCGATTAGCCTATACGTAACGTACATGTCAGCCAACATGATCTGAATAAGTTACCTGCTTATTTGCTATATCCTTTGGTCCGATTTCAATTCGCAAGGGCACACCTTTCATCTCCCAATTAGAGTACTTCCAGCCAGGTGAATAATTATCCCTCAAATCATGTTCAGCACGAAACCCTGCAACTCGCAATGTTTGAACAGTTGATGAGCAAGCTTCAAAGATAGTTTGCATGTCTGCGTCTTTGTAAGGTACAGGAATGACAATGACTTGGACAGCTGCAACTTTGGGCGGAAGCACCAAACCCTTGTCATCCCCATGAACCATCACCATAACCCCAATCTACAACGAAAAGCAAAATAACAAATTTATAAAAAAAAAAAAAAAATAGAATAGAACAGAAAGTAAACCTATTAAGCTTAGAGCAAAAAATTAAATTAAATTAAAATATAAAAAATTTTAGAAAATCTTATAGGTAAAACTAAAACGACTTTCCCATGAAAGAAATGCCTCATTCAATGATATAAAGGTAATGATGTAGCACACCTATTCCTTAGCAAAAAAAATTCATTTCATATTGAGTCTAATGTTAATTAAATATAGTGCTTTGGTCCATGTCGGGAGAATCTTTACTGAGGCAGAAATAAGTTGTGCTTGTAATGGATATATAAACCAGAAATGAATATCACATATTTCCACGATTCGTAATTATAGAGTTCGTGAAAATCAAGTGAAAGGTGTGAAGCTCAACATATCAAAGCGCAATGAATCTGCATATATTTAGAGTACAGCATATGGTGGTTTATTGAGGCATCCATCATGATCATCCTGGCAGTTACCAAAGGAAATTATTTCTTAGTGAAAAGAGAAGATAAATTACTTTAGAAAAAACAAATAATCAGAAAAATATAAGGCCAATACAGTGCCAAAAATGCTAAATATAGTGTGTCCAAAAAAAAAGAAGAAACCATGTGCAAGCAGTTTATATGCCCACTCAGAAAGATCAAGTTAGCTCCAAAAGTGTGTCCACACTGGGCACCAAAGATCGAGGTAGCACTTGTTGAAGTTATCACTAGAGAATAGAGTTGAAATGCTTCGTCTGGACAATTCCAGTCAGTAAAAAAGTTCAGAACTCGCTCAGTTAAAAGTACGACCCCAAGGTATTGGATTGGCATGTTAAAATTACATTTAGAAATATTACTACAGTATGACATTAAGAACAATTCCTTAAGCTCAAAATAGCGAATGAGACAATTAAAACACAAATCAAGCCGATAGAAAAATGGTCATTCGCCATAATGATGCACTCTTTGTATGCTTTCATCGTTGAATGAAAATATCCCAAAATTTGCAATGGCCCAAAAAGCAACAAATGAGAACAACTTACCTGTTAGAATGTTATAAAAGAAGAATGAACAGAAGGAGTGCGGGATCTTCTTTTGAATTTTCTTCCAAACACAACTACAACTTGTAATACATTCTCAATGTAAAAAACTTTACTCCTTTTTTCTATAATGGCATGGTTGAACAATAAAACTGCAATATCTTATCCTTCTCACTTTATATCGCTTCCTCACTTCACTCAAAGTATATATTCTGATTCTCTATATATCAACGCACTCCTGAAAGCTCACATTTTGATTTTCTAGTTGATAAAAAGAGTAAAAAAAAAAGTAATGGTAGATAACCAAGGTGATTGTCAAAACAATCTCCAGATGAGAACATTGATCCACTGTAACCTATTAAAGAAAATTTTTGAGTATATCCTATGTACGCAAACTTCTGTATTAGATCTTGTGTGCTCAATGTAGGACTGAATCATAGATTTTGAATTCTTTTTTTTTCAAAAGCAGTATCATGATATGAGTACAGCAATGACTACTAACAAAAATTGCAGAAGTGCATAGAAAAATATGAAAGAGGAAACACATAAAATAATAAGTGAAAGTATGAAACAATTGGTATAGGAAAACAACAAATGGGAGTAAGCATTCAATTAAATTATTTTGCTTGAAGCCTAACGAAAGCTAAAGAAAGATGATCAATTTTATTCTGAATTTCTGATTATCAAAGCCGCTAATAGAAGTTTTTAAAGAAAAGGTTTGTTATACCTTCCCCTGAGTACTAAGTTAATCATATCATGCTTAAGATGCTTATTTAAGCCATTAAGGTGCTTTGTTAATCTTATAGATGTGATTGAATGATTATGATCCTCCAATCCCAAGGGTCTATGAATACATCTTCAACAATTTTACAATTAAGAAAAGCATTAGTGGCATTTTTGACAGAGTTTAAAAATCTTGAAGCAAGCAAAAGCTAAGAGAAGCACTTTAATGACTTCATGTATTTCATGCCACAACTAAGAATCATCCCAAGTAGTTCTCTAAAATTCAATACTACTATTGCATAAACAATCAAAAATCAAAATAAAAAATTTTATCATATTTAAACATATGGTCGCAAACGAGCCTAACTTGCGCAGCTCGGGCTTGGCTAGTGTTTGGCTAATTCAAAGTTGGCTCGTGTTTGAAATTGGTTTCTGTTTGAAATTTTTCATGAACAGTGTGTTCATGTTTGGCTTGATTTACATATTCTTGTTGGTGTTCGGCTCAAAATTGGCTCGTTTAAATTAATTAGAAAAAATAAATGTAGGGTGTTATCTTCAAACCTGCACTATGTGCAATAGAATACTCAGAATAACATGACCACATCAGATATATATATATATAATATTTTTATATAAATATATATTTTTTTAGCTAAAACGAGCCGAACACGATCGAACAAAAGGTTTTTATGTTTCACTTGTTTATAATTCTAGCTTAAACAATTATTCATGTTCAGATTGTTTACTTAATGCACGATTCGAACACGAGCTACATAACAAGTCGAACAAAATAAGTTCATGAACAACGAGCTTTTTGATAGCTCTATTTAAACTAATGAATTTCACCATTAAATTTTAAAAAACAGGTTGGAAACAAAAATCTAATTTCTAGTTTATTATAAAAAATTTGGCTGAAACTTAGAACATTATGGCTCAATCCATCCACTAAAACAACATTCTTGATAGAGAATGTGTAAACCAAATGACATTATTGATATAAACAATTGTTTCTATGTTGTACTCATCGTGCTTTCCATCCCTTGGTTCCAACATTGCAAATTTGTAGAATCTATTGAAATATGCTATTGGCAACCAATATCCAAGTACCATATGAATTCATCATTCTAACGGTAAAAATGTCTTCTTGAGGACTTAAGCTATGATGCGTCCTTAGCCATGATAAATATTTGGTTCCTTATGTATGATTCTCTTAATGAAGCATCCAAAGCATTCATAATCTTCTTTCATTTCTATCCATTTCATCTTTGAATGTTGATCAACTCCATGGATCGATTTCTAGCATTAATAACAATAATTTCTTCCTTCAGATATTTAAGTTACTTTGACCTTTTCTCGCATATTGGCTGTTGTTTCCTTTTTTGCCATCTCCAGCATTGTCTCGTCTTCTTAAGGAGTAAGTCGGTGTAATTTCCGCTTCTCCTTCAAAATCAACTTGCTTTCTTCTATTTTTTTGTGCTTCCTATTAGCTCTTCCTTCATCTTAATTGGTTTGTCTAAAATGTATTAATAAGTAATAAAACAGCCTGAAAGAATATCAAAGAATTAAGTTAAAAGGTCCTTGGAATTCATTCAGGCATCTCATTCCTTGGAAAGAGTCCTAAAGATCTTGTTCACCTTTTTTTTATTAACATATTCTTTCGAAGAAGAAAGTAAAATGTGATGATCCTAGTGAATCTATAGGTAAAATGTGATGACCTTAGTGAATCTAGCATACATGTTAGAGATTTGTCTCTTCAAGCTTCATGTCAAAGAACTAGCATGTTGAAACGATATTGGTAAACCTCATTAATTCCTTTCATATGTGAAAAAATAAGTCATATATTACCTTTGCACTATTAAGCGTTGCGTCAAAAGCTAATCATAGAATGTAAACGCACAAAAGAAATAGAGGATAACTTTTGTATTGAACTGTGCAAGCTCCAGCAAAATAAAAGTCTATTCCACAAATGGCTTACCAATTGAAAATCCATTGATACTTTTGGTGAAAGATTTGTATCTGACACAGCCCAAAGCCACATCTTCATGTTAGTAGATTACAATGCCATTGAACTTCGGATTTTCCATATATTAAAAGGAATGTTGCTAAACAATAGGTGATGATCTAAGAATAGTCATCCAATCGCAATGTTGTTGCCAAAGCACAATGAAGTGGTTCTATTCTTAAGGATGTGAAGCCTTTGTGCAAGAGCTCAAGATCAAATACAACTCAATAGCTATAGCGCAAACCAAGAAGAAGGTGAAGTGCATTTAGTGGCAGATGTGCCTCCCTCTCAATTGTTACTTCCATCAAGTTTAAAATTTGAGGTGATGTTTCATTTCTCACTCTACGAGTTTATTGAGTATATGTGAAGAAGCATTAAAATATGCTTGAGTTGTTTTAGCAGAAGGTACATTTAGCATGATGAAGGCTAGGGAATTTAATAAGGTGTTCTATAACATTATTCAGGAGGATTGGTTTGAGCTTTAATGAATTAGGTAAAGAGTTCAAGCAACTGAAGAGAAAGCAGTCAGATCAACCTAAGAAATTATAAAGAAAAGTTACCTAATTGAATGTCCAGTCCGTAACACCAAAGGATAATAATCAACAATTAAGCAATTTGACGGGTTAGAGTAAATTTTATCGAACAGGCCAACAGACCAAACTTTCAATCCAATTAGATAGCCTATAACTGTAATTTTCAAAATCTATTCATAAATTCAACCATAAGTACCATAACATTCACAGCAAATTTAAAGACAAAGAAAGAGAGAGAGAAGCAGTCACGTTCTAAATAAACTAGTAAATTAGTCAACTTAGCCCTGCTTTTCCATAAGATTCCTTATTAGGGTTAGTTAAATGAGCTTTCAATATCTTGACAGGGAACTAGTTTAAAATGACGGTTGTAGTCACAATAATCTCAACTATCTCAAGCCGTCCTAATGTCAACAAAGGATGATCAAAATTGTAATCAGCATTAACAACTGGCATGGCCATGATATGCTTATAGCTCATTCAGTAGACACGGATATAAAACAGTAAAGCAAGAGTGGCGGGGCTTAAGTGATTCAAGTCCAGTTGTCAGGAAAATACTATCCTCGATCACTAGAGCTCCAACTCGAGAGCAAAAATCTTGATAATTAAATCCATGACAAGCAATTGAGATCACTTGTAGATCATGCTAGCACATCCAATCTTGATAATTAAATCCATGACAAGCAATTGAGAAGAAACTACTATAGTTGGCAGAATTTTTTTGTTTTCAGGTCATTTGTAGATCATGCTAGCACATCTAAGGGAATTTCTCTTGCAAACATTTAAGTTGGCAAGGTAGCAATTATATCATCAGAAGACATTTGATTTAACACCCTCAATTGAAATTTGTGAATCATTACTAGTCTGTGGAGAAATTGAAAACCAAGCGCAAAAGAAACTTGACCCTTATAACAAAGACGAGTCAGATTGTTAAAAGGGATTAAAGCTGTTCCTTCTTCCAAAAAAGCCAGAACTTAAAAAAACCTCCTAAGCACCGTCCGTTCCATTAACCTGATGGCTGGTTATCACTACTTCACAGGGCTTGCAATTAAAGTCAAGGCATAGTTTAAGGTAAGTGGGTGTAGAATGTGCAAATGATACCAACAGAGCGTAGCAGCTCTCACAACAGAAGATGGATCTAATGAGGGTGATAATTAGCGTTTCTGAAACAACAACCTGATTTGAGAAAGTAAATGATACTCGCATCAAGCAACAGAGAGAGGAACAACCATCGTTTAGGTATATGATCACCAATTTTTTTCTGATGGAAACAGATGACTTTTACTTAGGAGAAGCAGCCAATTTTGGGATCCTTAAAAGTGGAAGGAAACAGCAACTGAGTGAACCATGCTTACCACGGTGACAAAATTTCTACATGCACTAAGAACCTAACTACTGTAAAGAATGTTGACAAGAGGGAAGAGTTTGCAACAAGTTGATGAATGATGATCAATCATTTCATCATTAAATATAGAACAACAATGTCCGGGTACAAAAGAGAGTAAAGCTGCTCTTCCTTTACAATGTTAAAAATAGGAGCCAAGGAAATAAGTGGGGGTCTTCTTCTGAATTTTCTCTCAAGCATAGAAACCTGAAATTCATTCTTGCAAATAATCTCTCTTCTTTCTACAATGAATGAAGGTCATATGGACCAAACAACGTAAAATTACAGCTCTTATTCAAGTGATTTTCTCTTACTCTATTTACTCAAAAGTAGCTCGCTCAATCCTAGAATAATCAGCAAACTTCCAAGGGTAAAATTTTCAAATGTTCCCGACTGAAGCAACTAGTATGAAGGAGATAAAAATATAAGAAAAAATAGAGAATGGTCTCAGCTAAGCAAATTACCGTGCGGGTGCTGTATGCCCAAGAATTCTGCCAGACCTTAGCTTTCTCCCCCTTCTCATTTTCAAAATCTATCTCAAACATCTTTGCAAAATTTTGACCGAGGCAATGTGAGGTAGCACCTTGTATTCCACGACCTGTATTTGGAATAAAAGCCTAGGCAGGCATTGTAAAAACTGTCAAAACTACAAAAAAGAATAATCTAAGGTCATCTCTAGAATCATTCTTGATGGCCAAATGAATCTAAAATACACATGAAGACCATTTTGATACCTCAACGCTCGTGGTATAAAGGCCTCCAGCAAATTTTTCTAGCTCACTTTTCTTTCCTTTCACTACTGGAATGGCAAGGTATTCTTCATAAATTCTCCGGTATAATTCCAATATCTCAAGAACCTGGGAACAATATTTCCCATTTTATAAACAACTTCACAAAGTTAGTACTTTTGAAAAAAAAGAAGAAGCAGATATCACTATAGTCCACATGAAATTTCTCACATAATTACTCCATCAGCCTTCTTTAACCTTAAACTAAAACAATCTAGATTGATAAACTCGTTACGAAGGATAAATTTCTACACAGTACAATTTATGAAATTAGCTACCTCCTTATCTGCTTCCTCTTTTGTTGCAAACGCTGTATGACCTTCTTGCCAAAGAAACTCCCTACTCCTGCAAATGTTTAATTGGAGTGGTCAGCACAAAACCTTATTCATCATGCTGAATGCAAACAACATGCCAATACTAGCAACAATGAATAAGACATGAAAAGTCCTATGATAATACTAAAGCATAGTGTGAACTTTATAAATGAGTTCTTCCCATGGACAACTTCCGCTAGAAAAGTTTAATAAGTTGGCATTCAAGAAACCTATAAACAAACCATAATTATCAAAGAAAGCAAAGAACATATCTAAAAGCATACATTATGCTGCAAATAAATTTACACGAAGTACAAATAAATACATAGAAATAACAGAAGTATGTGTGGAATTCTGAGTTTCCTAGTTTAGCTTTATTCACTTTTATTATTTGCTTTATTAGGTTGAATGTACTTCCTTCTTAAGTTGTTTTTTTCTTTGGTAAATTGTAATAGGCATCATTAAATTGCCCTATTCGTTTCATATATAATAAGAGGAATAGATGTATTTTGAAGATTGAGAAATAAAAGAATAAGATTTCATCTAGAAAAAGTTAATAAGTTGGCATTCAGGAAACCTATAAACAAATCATAATTATAAAAGAAAGCAAAGAACACAAGTAAAGGTGCTGCGAGTAAAGTTTGAATAAAAAAAATGACACAAAGTACAAATAAATAAATAGAAATGATAAAAGTATGTGTGGAATTCTAAGCTTTCTTCTTTAATTATTTTTTCTTTAGTAAGTTGTAACAGGCATCACTAAGTTGGCCTTCTTATATAATAGGGGAAGAGTTGTATTTTGAAGATTGAGAAATAAAAGAATATGATTTTCTCCACATTTATGCATGATATTAGAGCATCGGTTTGGCTTTCAATAGGATTAGAGCAGCGTTCATCATCCGGTTTCGCCTTCGCCTCGCCTTCTCCTTCATCTGGATCGCTTGAACGACTCGTCTACCGTTGAGATCACTCGTCTGAGTCATCGCTTGTCTGGATCGCTCGTCTACAACTTCTGGTCGCCTAGATTACTCGACTGTGTCTTATGCTCATCGGGATCGCTCTTCTGCGTCCGCTCGTCTGGATCGCTCACTACTTTGGCTACTCATTTGGTTAGCCCGTCTACTTCATCTGAAGTGCGGTTTGGCTTTGTCTGAATCCTGTGGCAGCCCTCATCTGGCAGCCTTCTTATCGCTCCCCCGCTGGCCTTCTCTTATTTTCCCTGCGGCAACCCGCATCTGACAGCCCTTCCCGGATCCTCTTTCTGGCAGCCGCCAGTCTTCCTACAGGACCTCCCCATCTCAGAACCTTCCCAGCCTTCAAACCCATTTGTCGTTCAAGCAAACAACGCAATTAGCCAGGAATTCTTTCCAACCATAAATATGTATAGAGCTTATGACAAAGTATAGCATGATGATGTGTAGCTCTACTTGTGGGTTTGTTCTAAATCAAAGACCATAAGTTTTGTCCAAACATCCCAAAACTCTCACTTTATCACAAATTATAAACTCAATGGCCACAACATCCATCAATGTTCACAATCCCCGCTTATATACATTTGTGTAGAAGGAAAAGAGAAACATCTCACGGGAAAGAACACAGTTCTTGAGCTCATTGATCCTAACCATCGCTCATGGAAAATCTAGGATCATATGGTCATCTCTTGGTTGATCAATTCTATGACCACAAAGGTAAGAGAATTTTTTTTTTGTTTTAAAAGATACTAAAGGAGATTTGGGAAACGGCTCATTAGACTTATTCTAGGACCGAAAGCACTCAAAATTGTTTGAGATTGAGACAAAACTGCATGAGCTTCGACGATAAGAGTTATGTATGGCTCAACACTCCAACACAAAAGGTAATGGTTACAATTAGATATGTATGATACTTATGTATAAAAATGCCCTCAAAATGTTATGATATATAAAAAAATAGTGGAGAAGAAGATGATAAGTTCTTATTAGGTCTAAATAAGAACTTCGATGAGATCAGAGGAAGTCATAAGGATGAAGTCTCTTCCTACCACTAGGGAATTATTTGCTGAATTTAGAAAAGAAGAAAGTAGGAAGAAGCTCATGATAGCAGAAAGTGTAGATCCATCTAACACTGAAAGCTCTGTCTTGTGTAAAAACAACTCCTCCAATGAGTCAAAATCAAAGAAGAATCTTCTATTGTGTGAACATTACTCGAAACTTGGTCACGCAAAAGACAAGTGTTAGAAATTGCAAAAAAAATTACTATTGGAAACCGGGACAAGGGAGGAAAGATCAAGACAGCAAGGCCGATGTTGCTACTTCTTATGATGGGTTAGCCAACCCTGGTCCCTTCATCATGGAACAACTGTAGGTGTTAAAGAAACTTCTATCTAGCATAATTGAGCGCCTACCAGCTTGATAATACAGCAAAGTATCTTATCCTCCTATCTTGCTAACGATGGAATATTTCAACCTTGGTAATAAACTTAAATGCTTCTGATCACATGACTGCAGAAATTCATGCTCTCACCAAATACCAAGTGTTAACCACCTTCAAATTTGTTAGACTTGCACATGGATCACATTCCATAATTATTGAGAAAGAAGTGAAAATCTTCAAAGATATTCAGCTTTCTTCTGTGTTATATGTTCCCCGATTAGAATGCAACTAACTTTCTATTAGCAACATTACTTGTGACTTCAACTATAATACAAAATTTCATCCTAACTCCTGTAAATTTCAGGCGGAGGATTAAAGGAAAATGATTGGCATTATTGAATTGCACCAAGGTTTATACCTACTCAAAGAAAAGTATTCTTTTAATATACAAGTGTTTGCTCCACCATCCTCATTTTATGTTCTTGAGTCTGTTGTATATGATTATGTTGAGTCAAATTTTATTATGGCAATATCGTCCGGGTAATCCCAATTTTCATTATGTTGCAAAATTATACCCCCGTCTCTTTATTAAAAAAAAAGCCAAAGTTTTATCAATATGAAACCAGACAATTGGCTAAACATACTTGTCATGTTTATCCTCTATCTTAGTACAAACCATCACATCATTTCTCTATTATCTACAATGACACTTGGGAACCTTCAAAATCGAAATCCATCAACAAAGTTGGTTGGATTATCTCCTTTACTAATGTTCACACTAGAACCAGTTGGAATTTAATTTTCCTTAAGAGCACCCACATAATTCGAAAAAAGGCCTACTTAGTTCAAGTTTGAAGGTTTAACAAGTTACGCTATGAGAAACATGTATCCCGGAAATGTTTCATGAGCTTCTTGTTTGATTCTCGTGGGGTTTTCTCTTTGGTTCTTTCGGGTTGTTGATTGCTCGGGTTTTATGTGGAGGATTTTCTTAAACAACCATCTTTTAAGGATGCTTTGGCGAGTAATATCTCTTCAACACCCTCAATTGCTAATAGATACTTGTTTCCCGTGGAATTTAAAGATCATTTAGTGGAAGGTTCAAATAATGGGTTTATCAAGAAAGCGTCAACGAAGAATGGAAAACCAGCATTATTCTATCGTGAAGAAGAAACTATGGCACTTGTGGATCCTTTGAAGCACATCTCAGTGGGTAAGTTTACTTTTGCTCACCCACGATTGGAGGTTATCCGGAAATTTTTTGCCGATCTCAAATTTCTTGGCAGTTGAATTGTGGGGCTGATAGATGGTAAACATCTAATGATTCGTCTGGAGAAAGAGGCGAATTATACTATGTTGTTTGCAAGAAAAGTTTTACAAATTGAAAAAATTAACATGAAGATCCTTAAATGGTTTACAGGTTTCAATCCAAATGAAGAGCCTCCTATTTTTCCCATATGGTTTCGATTTCTAGGTTTGAAATTTCATTTTTTCAATATGGAAGTTCTTTACTCTACAGGTGCTATCTTGGGTTCTCCCATGAAAATTGATCAAGCCACGCTTAACTGCTCGAGGCACTCTATTGCAAGAATTATGGTTGAGAGAGATGTTACTCTCCCTTTCTCTTATATTGTGTGGATTGCGGATTCAAATGATGGCGATTGGCAAAATGTGGGAATGGAATAAGTTCCACCATATTGTAATAGAAGGAGGTTGTTTGGGCATTCCATAAATAATTGTTTTATCGCGCATTATAATTTTAAAAGATCAAATAGATATCAAGATCCAAAAAAAACTTGAAAATGAAGCTAGAAGTAATGATTGACACATTGAAACCAGGAAAGAAGATCAAAGGAAAGAATGAAGATAAAATTGATGATGTAGAATGTAATAACAAAAAGGTGCTGGAAGGAAATCAAATGCTAGAAAATACTAAGGAAAACGGTGATAAAGTAATGTATAATATTGATAATGAACATATAGAAGAGGAGGGTGGTTTGATTAAAACTACCAATAATGAAACAGGAATCTCCTATGTCGGCCCTGTTGAATTGATAAATAAAAGAATCTTTGATTATTCCAATGGGATAAATGTGGATGGAAATTTGGTTCTAACTAGAGCTGAGTTAGAAGAAGACTGGTTAATTCAAATATCTTCTAGAAAAAAGGAAATTTAAAGGTATAAGAGAGCTAAGCTATGTTAACCTTGAAGCTGCTTATAATCAGAAAATTTGGGGAAGATTCTCAATTAAATACTAATTCTACTACTAGAAACTCTAGAGGGAACAAAGAGATTAATGACGTTTAATTTTCTTGTTTTGAAAATTAGAGGTGTTGCCAAAGTCGATGCCTCTTGTAGACTCAAGAATCTTATCCGTACTCATAAATTAAATTTCTTCAGTATTCTTGAACCTCTTATTGTCCAAAACAATGAGAAATACAAGAGGAAAATTGGTAATTTTAATCTCCTTGCTAATATTAATAACAAGATCTGGTTTTTGTGGAAAGACAACTTGAAAGTGGATATTCCTATTCATCATACACAGAATTGGTAATTTTAATCTCCTTGCTAATATTAATAATAAGATCTTTCTTCACACTAAAGTTTTCTTTAATGATTCTTTCTTCTTATTAACAGTCATCTATGCTAACTGCTCTAAGAATGGAAGATTGGAATTGTGG